TTACATCATCCAGTGGCAAAATGAACAAGGCAGGTCACTCAGTCCTTAGTGCATTTTCTAGCTTGTACCGGTTTGGCAAAAAAAACAAATGTAGTTCCTTTAAAAATGCTTTTTTTTCTCATTCACAATGTCTAAGGAGATTAATTAATTTCTACTTGTCTAATAATTTGTTATGCCCTCTCATATAACTTATGCATAGGATAGACATCTTAGTTATTAAAATAAAAATCTTTATTAATTGAAATCACTACAATGTGCCAGAACTGGGTTTTCAGTATTTCCCAGAGTGAAATGTTATAAATATAAAATGAAAAAAAAATTGACCTTACAAAAGCAAAATGAAAAAAAATTCACTAATAGAAATCATATTCTAATCAATTTCTGAGAGGGTTTACATGAATTTTTAAGTGGTGAGTGTACTGTCTAGGGTAGTTACATACCAAGTACACTACATTTTGGCTTATAATGACTGTTTGACTCCTGGGGAATGACTATCTTCATATATGTTACATAGTTACTTAGCAATTCTTGGCACTCAAAAAAATGTTAATGATAATTTAAGAGTGAAATATTTTGAAGACAAATTATTAAGTATACATATAACAAAATAACTCAGTTTAAATACATTGATAATAAAAGTTCTTGTCTTTCAGGATTGGTATAAAACAATGAAGTATATCAGCAGTTAGCTTGCCACTTCCAAGGTAGGATTACAGGTACACACTGGGAATGGTGGATAAAATAGGAATGGATTTTATTCTAAGGAGGTTTAATAACAGATATTAAACAGAGGACTAGGTAGATACAGAAGGTATGCAGTCTTGGCATTCTTGCTTCTTGGGAGAACCAGGATGTATGTTAAACCAAGAAGAGGAACTTCACTATTTTTCTCTAGGCTTTCTGTAATTAAATTATGTTCATAATCTCACATCAGTTACAATTATGTTTTTTTTTCTTGTGTCAAATAACTTCAAAGGGTTCATTTTTATTTCTTCTAACATCTAAGATATGTATATACATATTAATTTATATATATATATATACATACATATATATGTTCATTCCATTTTAAAAAGATCTGGATTTTTGAATACTTGTCCTATAGCTGTGAGGCAATGCCATGAAATCAGGGACCTTGTTCACTGTCGGTGAAGGGCAGAGTTCACAACTTTTTCTGAATATTAAACTTGTAGATTCAATTAGATTCCTTTCAATTGTACGGTAGGACTAGAGAATGGCTCACACCTCTTATCCCCACAAACATAGGCTAAAAAGGAATTCTTTGTGACAGAGAAAATTCCGTCAATCCCACTTAAAAATAGCTAACATTTCCCCTCTTTTTAAACTCTAAGCAGGCCTATATTTTTCTTTATATACGTTCTTTGTGTATCATGGGATGGGTTCCATCAATCGAAAAGTAAAAACTGGAGTTCGTAATGTGTTGTTAATTTGCTTAAAAATCTTTTTTCCAACAACTTCTTTAGCATTTGAAGTCCTTGATTCTTTGGCAGTCATTTAAAAAAAATCAGACATGAATTTATTCTAAATGAAACTCCTTTTTATTCTCGGAATCTGCAGCCTTGACCAACTGGAAAAAGATGTGCCAAGGAAATCCATCCTTAATAAATCAGGTATATTCTTGAAAATATCTCTGCCATCATTCTCTAGTACCGTGCCAACAACAGAAAATGTTTACACAAAACACTATTTCATCAGCACATGTCTACAAAACAAAAACATATTATTTTCAGTCTGAGTTTTCACAAATTTCAATTCAAAGTTTCTGCTTTGTGAAAATTTGGCTAGTTTTTCAACCTTTACAGAAACTGCAAACTAAATATTCTGAGTACTAAACTACATCTCTCCTTAATACATTTGCTATAGTGGAGTTTGATATTCGGAGTCTGATTTATACTTCCAAAAAGGGGTTTTAGAGTATTAAGGGGTTCTATTATTACATAGCAGCTACTGGGAGCCTAAATCCATGGTCAGTACTCTAATTACAAGAATCCAAGATGTTCTAAACCCTAGATGAATTGCTGCTTTCCTGTACAGCAGTCCTAATGTCTGAATTAGGACCGTTCCTAATGACTGAATTATGTCTTTGGATATAGAACATTCTCTTTTTCCTATATTTTGTTCTTTTTAACTTCTTCAAAGCATGTTCAGAGTTGGTTTTCAGCAAACACAAGACTCTTTGAGGGACTGAATCTAAACACCAAGCAGAATTGTTTGTGAACTGTTCAACATTTCATCAGCCATGATTAACCTATCTGCATGATAATTTGTAACAGGTGCTTGGATTGTACTCTTTGTAGATGAAGCAAAGTTAACCGGTTTAATGAGAATATAAAGGGAATTCAAAAGGAAACACTCACTATTGAGTTCACAAACACTTAATTCAAGTTTGGTAAATAACAGGCAGCAAAAGTGGCATCATAACCCATGTCAGTGAGTCATTTGCTAAATGGAATACTCAGTCTTTACTAAGATAAAAATTAACATTTTGCTGTCTATGCCAGAAGGGTAAAAAGAACTTATTTCACATTAGGTATCCTGTAAAATAAATAACCTACCCATTTAACACGTCTTGTCGTTTGCTTAACTGAAGAGAACAGGTTGAAGCAGAAGCTCGTGTGTCCGGAGGTAGAGAGAGGGATTTTCTATACCTTAGTGGCTTTACCCCGTTGCAAGACTAAAACGGTAGCAGAAGATGGGGGCGGGGGGGGGGGGGGGGGGGGTGTGTGGTAGGATAGGCCACCTGCACATTCTAACCACTTACCATGCATTAATAGGAATCCTTCTATTGCCTCCTGTTTTATATAGTTAAAAGGCTCACATTCTTAACTGACTTTCAAATAAATGGGACAAACCTAACCAGAAAGAAGGCCTGGCAAGTGAATGTGGCTCCTTACATAGCCCTGCTTACTGTCTGGGAATGTAAGTCCTTCACTCCCTTCTGGTGGAATATTGTCTCAAAATAAAAATCACAACTTGCTTGGAACCACATGCTACTGGTGCATCCTATTTTTAGGCTGCTTTCATTATTTTATTTTTTATACAGATACATATACACTGCTAAAATCAAAGCAAAAATATTAATGGGCAGGTACTACAGAACTAAGGTGAAACAAACAAACAGGAACCAACAAGTGAAAACAACAGCTATAAACTTTCAAGGCCAAAAGATAAGATTTAAGGGCAACACCTGTGAAGGGAGGAAAAGAAAGTGTGAAGTTTCTAGAGGTATTTATAATGCAAGTCTAATGCCAGCTTTTTAATAATAAAAAAGAGAAGTGCTTTATTATTCACTGACTAGCACATAGAATGCTTAATTTGCAAAGAAAAATCAATGAAGTTCCTTGGGCCAGCAGCAGATATGGTGTGTCCATTGCCGGCAACAGACACAACACTTGAAACAGAAAACCCAATCCCAGGGCAAAAGTATTCACAGAAGTAATGGCTGGAAGTTTCAGAATTTGACAGGCAAGGTTTAATCACAAGTGCTACACTCTGTACAACGTTATTTATGGCTCTGCCTGAAATTTTACAGCTGAAACAGAAACTAAGACAAAGTTCATATTTTAGTGTCAATTACATGTTAGATATTTAGTTAGTTACAAACCCCTATTTTCTTGAAACAAAGGGCTTATCTTTCTTTAAAATGTTGAGATGTTTGAAATGGATATAGCTGTTAAGTATATTGGTGTTTTTCAATCAATTCTATGTTGGTCATGTGAATTAATGAATTTTAATAGAGGTCTAATGGCCAATGGCCAAAACTACATTCAAACCCTGCTAATATATCCAGACAGATAGGAAATTCTAACACACACACATACACATACACACACACGCACGCACACACACACACACATGCTAAAATTCAAACTAAAAACCTCCCAAAGGAACTGCTTTGTTTGTAGACTTCAATTTGAAGTAGATACTAAGGGCAAGAATAGACCAGTTAAAATTCACCTGAAAATCCTTTCCCCTTCTTCAAATGTGCTAAAATACTGCAGTCAGCTTAGCATCCATCTCTTCATGTATGTTATGTATAGGTGTATTTCTTTGAAAATGATAATTCAGATATTTAAATATTAAGTGGCCAGAAAACAAGAGTTACATTATCTGCAAAGTTTACAGTCCACTTGGGCCTTAAGAAAGACCACACTCATTTCACTAATAACTCTCCACGATGGCATATTAAAGGCCACGTCATCACCACTGCATAAAGCTGTTTAAAAAAATTTGCTATTAGCACAACCTGGTTGTCAAAGCTTCATTATACATTTCACTATACAAATGCTTTTCAGATGATTTTTTTAAAAAACAAGAAACTCCGCTATAACAGAAACTTAGGTTACAGTTTTTTATGATGGTATCTTTTTATCGGTCTCTTCTTTTTAAGTGTGGTTATCTTCAATAGTAAACAAGTTGATTTCATGAATGCTGTTACTAAAATGACTTATGTATGATGTTATCTACAATTCTTAAATTGCAACAATACGGACTTGAACTTTTAAACAGTCTGTTAATCATCATCTATGCCATGAATGTTTAAATATAATATATATTTAATATGAAAAAGCTAAAAGCACAAGTGCTTTCTCCCACCCCTAATTCTGTTTTGGGCCCTCACAGATTTGGAATGCATTCTTATCCACCCTTTTCACAAAGTCAGGAGAGCTCAGGAAATATAAAGTCAAAAATATACAAATCTTTGTTGTTATAATAAGATTTTTTTTTTCCCCATGACTGAAATTACCAAGGACCATGAACTTGGAAAAAGAAAATCAAAAGGAATTTACAGCAATTATTTATCTTCAAAGTTCAAAACTGGTCACTTCACAGAAAGACTTCAGGGTCTGTTGAAATTTTTCTTCTAAAAAGTCATTCTGTAGTGGAGTTTTCTAGGAAAAATAAAACAGCTTTTAATAACTGGCCCGCTGGTGTGAGAGCTACCGTGGAATAAATTAGCACAAAAATGGAAAAAAGTCTTATAACTGTTCACTGTTACAGACATAATCAACAAGGTCAGTCACTCTTAAAAGCTCATCTTCATCCTCTTCGGGCGCCCCTGCCTCCTGCCCACCACTCGTCCCATTGGGGGCCAGGCTTGCACTGCCTGTGCTGCTGTCCTTGGGGGTCTGAGGCTTCTCAGCTGGCTTGCCAATCAAGTTTTCAATGGCTTTGCCTGGACTCTGTCCATTGGTGGAAGGTAGGTCCACTAAGCTATAGTCCAATGGGCTCCCCACCTTGCCTACATTTTCAAAGTCCTCTTCCTCATCACTGTCTATCCGATAGGGCTTTTTGGTGCTGTCCTGTTCTGAGGGCAGGACCCTGGGCTGGCTGTCATGGGCAGGTTGATCTGCATCTCCATGAGCATTGTCACAACTCTCCTCTTCATCTGTCTCAATCCGGTGTAGCCGTTTTCGGGATGGTTTACCTTCTTCCTCCTCATCTGCTTCGGAATACTCATCTGTGCTTCGACCCCGTTTTCGAACTGACCGCTTTGATTCTTTAGCTAGCTCATCATCTTCAGAGTTCTTGGACATATAGCTCTCTAGAATAAACAGCACATTTAAGCTATTGGCACAGTTAACCATTAACAGATATAAGTAATCCTCTTCTTCCTCCCATATTCATCCCATGTCCTACTTTCAGACTTGCTTGTATATAAATATTTCCCTTCAGTAACTGGCCTCATTTCTCTCTCTTCTCATTCTCACAACAATGCCCAATATGATTCACAGTATACTTTATCTATGATTTTAGGAAAGAGCAAAATCGTAAATTAAATAAAGACAGGTTGGTCACAAACTAAGAAACTTCTTCCCACTAACCCTCAAGTTAGAGAATTGTGTAAACATACCAATAAGGGAAAATTAAAACTAAACAATGCATCTGAAATACTGCACTCTCCTTCCATGTTCTTAAATGTCCGTGGTAGCCCTTAAATGTTTTCTGTGGTCTGTACTTGATCTCACCTGGTCTCATGGATTTGCCTACCACCCATTTGATGGTGACTCTCACATTTGCTTTAGGCAACCAATCCCTAAATTCCAGGCTCATGTATCAAACTGCCTACTCAACATCTATGCTTGGATTTCTAAACAGGCAGAACCAAGATACAATACTTCCTCCTCAACCTTGCACAATTCTGGTCTCTACCATCTTAGTTATTGGCAACTCGATTCTTCTAATCACTCAGTCATCCCTGATTTCCTTCTTTTTCCCATCTAATCCAACAGTAAATTCTGTGGGCTATACTCAAAGACATCCATAACCTGACTGCTTTTCACCCCTTCACTGCTGCTGCTCCAGTCCCCTCCACCATCATCTCTCACCTGGCCTATTTTAACAACCCCCCACCAGACTCCTCGATTCCCTCCCTATGCCCTTTAATTTACTCATAACATAGATACCATATGAAAATGTAAGTCAGATAATATCACTCCTTTGTTCAAAATCCTCCAATTATTTCTCATTTCACAAAGAATAAAGTCCAAAGTCTATACAATGGCCTACTGCATTATCTATCTGTCCAATATGGTACTAAACGGAGCAAGACTCTATGGTCCTTGCCCCCCATGTCTTCTGCCTGCATTTCCACAGACTAAATTCTGTGGAAAACTTTAGTCAAAGAATAAGTTTAATCAGAGAAATGAGAAAATGTAGAAACAAAGAAAAACAGTCAAAGGAGATCAAATAATAATAAATAGTCATTAAGCATAGTCAAGGACCTTCAGTTACTTCTCAAGGGCTATAGATAACTTTCTGAGCCTCACCCTGTGAGCAGTCTTACACACACTGAAACCCCAGATGAAGAAGTTAACGATGACCAGACTATAGTTGTGACATGAGCTGCTACAATCCCAAGAACTGGCTTCAGAGAAACAGGAATTAACCAACCCTGGAGTTAAAGATTAACTGTACCTAAAACAACCAAGAGGATGCTGGTCAGACCACTGATGACCAATTTGAGTTGACTGTGCTATTTGTGCATGCAGCCCCTTCCCTCAGCCTATAAAAGCTCTCATGCCCTGCTTGTCAGGAGGGGAGTCAGCCTTTGAACAGATGTCCACCCTTCCCATCCCTCACCAACCCCTTCCACCTCTCACCAGTGCCTGGCATCTGAAATAAAGCAAACTTTGCTTTCCACCAACCTGGCCTATTTATTGGCTTTTGTGTGGTGAGTACCCAGACCCCACCTTTGGGTAACAGTCCCCACTCACCACAGGTGGGAATCAACTCTTTTTTTTTAGGTCTTTATTCAAATGCTGACTTCTGAGGGAGGCATTCCTTTGGTACTCTATCTGAAATTCCAGCTACTCCCCCAACCCTCCCTTTCTACTTTTCTCCACAGCACTTATCTCCACCTAATATATCTACTTATTTGTCATGGTTATTGTCTCTCTTCCCCCAACAAAAATAAGAGTTACATGAGGAAGCTATATTTTTGGTTATTCTTTTCACTGTTCTATTCCCAGTGCCTAGGACAGTGACTAGTTCATTAAGTATTTATTTTTAAGAGCTGAATTAATGAATTTACATTTGTCTTTAATGACATAAGAGGAGATACACATTCACCCAGATGTTTACCTCCTTTCTTTAGTCTCCCTTACCCAAACATTTTTTTCCCTTACTCTCCTGGCTTGGACTCAAACTTAATTGACAAGGATCTATGAAAGTAAATAATCTTCAATACAGATCATAAACAATGGAGAATTAAATATATAAAAAAGAAATGGGGGAAGGTGAAGGTTAGAATCATTTAAAATGAGAAGAACTCTAGAATAACTACAAAGACTAACTGGACATCACAAATTCATATTTTAGAACTTGTAACTCTGGTATGGTGCACAGCTAAAGCTATTAAGAAATAAAAGTTTACCGACTAAAGCTCACTGTCAAGGTGAGAGAGACAGTGGGCCCTCTTGGCTTGTAACTGTTCAGCTATTCAGGGCACAGGAGGTTATTTCAATACGAGGGCCATAAATTATCAGGAAGCAAAAGAAATCTTGTTAACAGATCACAATTTTCTGACACTTTTCTAGTTTCAATGAAGAATTTAATTATTACAATGAAGAACTCAAAAATTAGTATCTTATCAAGTGTCAGTTATTTGAACTACAAGCTAACCAGGCATAAAATAATGGGTTTTATCTCAAAGATACTATGGGTTATATTAAATTTCTAAGAAATGGTACAGAATCATCATCGTGAGTTCACTTTAAAATCTGTACTGCTGCCTTGTCCTAATGTCTGTAAACTGGAGAGCTATTCCTTACCTTCACTATCTGAGCTAGAGAGCCTACGCTTGTGAACGCGTCTGATTTCTTTACCACGTCGTAAACTCTTCTGGGAACCATCACTTTCTGAGTCTTCCTTGTAGTTAATTTGTCTCTTCTGGTTCCTTCTAGACCTTCTTCGCCGAGTTTCTACAAAATCATCGCTAAAGTCATCACTAAAGTCACTTTCTGTTTAAAAAAAAGGGGGGTGGATAGAAAGGAAAAAGAAGTCAAGTACAAATTTTAATTTTCAATTCCACCAAACAGAAATGTTAGTTTACCTTATAAAAATATAAAGCTATTACACAGAGTTCAGTCATAACTTTTAAATGAACAGTAACTTTTATAAATCTCCAATTTTCTTCTTAATAATATGAGTACATCTCAAGGGAGTTTTAATGCCAAAGCTCACAAATATATCATGCTAGCAGTCAACCTCAAGATTAAAAAATGTTTTATTGGGAATTCCCTGGCAGTCCAGTGGCTATGACTCTGTGCTCTCACTGCCAAGGGCCTGGGTTCAATCTTTGGTGGGGGAACTAAGATCTTGTGGCACAGCCAAAAAAAAAAAAAAGTTTTCCATAAACCTTATCTCATACAACCTGGAGCTACCCAGCTGGCTGCATGGCTGCCACAACCCTTCTTCTTGGTGGATGGTTACTGTTCTGCCTCATGATGACCTGCTGTTCCTATGGATACAGCTGTATGGCTACAGTCATGGCATCACAACGCACTGCGGGTTAAACTTTCTAACCACAGAAAACCGATGAGCTTGTTTCAAGCACACAACCGGGGTTATACTTCTGGCTTTTACCCATGCGGAATTAAAATCTGCTGAATACAACTCACAGGGCTACTTTAACTCCCAAAGCACTGCTAGACAGCACTGTTCCTGTCACGTCATCTCTGATCAATAAATCAAAATCAGGCTGCGACACTGTGTCAGAGTAGTTTTTAGGAACGCTAACACATCTCACTGAATCATCACATCTAGTTTTGTTCTCTAATGGATTTCAAATATTCAAAAACTGCTAGCCAACAGTTTAAAGGCCAAATCTAGGACAAACTGAGTCAAAATAGTGATGGTAATAAGACTGAAATAAGAATCCATTAAATCCATACTGATACCAAAGAAATAAATACACAGGGCAGAACAGAAAGCTCTTTCTTACAGAACAGCAAGTAATAAATAGGAAGAAAGGAGTTAGAAAATCATCAACAAATGCTAAAGCTAGTGGGTGCAACATCTGATAAGGAACAAGGTATTTACAGCCTCAAAATACCTTGTATGAATTACTTATTAATTACAAAGGGAAAATAATAGAGACGTGGAGGACATACATTAATTATGTGATATTCGGGCCAAAAATGTATAACGAGAATCTAATCACAAGGAAACATAAAACCAAATGAGTTGTATTTTACAAAATAACTAGTGTGTATTCTTAAAAAATGTTGTGGTCAACAAAGACGTTTCAGGTATATTACAGATAAAAGGAGACCAAAGAGACATGAATAAATGCATAACATAATCCTAATCTGGATCCTCAACTAGGAAAAAAATGTTAACGTAAAGGACAATATTGGGGCACCTGATGATATCTGAATGTGTACTGTTGATAAGTTAATGGTATTTTATCAATATAAAAATTCCCCATTTTAATATTATACTATGGTTATGTAAGAAAATGTTCTTGTTTTCAGCAAATAATTACTGATAAAGGGGTCTGATGTCTCGTAATAATTCAAAAGGTTTGGAAAAAAAGATAAAACAAAAAACTCCACAAGCCTGGCCCGAGTTGGGATATAACACCCCTGTCTATAGCATTTCCTCAGTAAGATGACAGCTACCTATCTGCCAATCCATTGGAGCATCTTATCTGTCATTTTAGCTGCCGTGCCTCTCTTTACTTAATTAATAGGGATGAGCAGAGCTATAAATAACATCAATCGCTGATAACTTATAAAAACTAATAAATCACTGATTATGATCTAAATGTTAGAGATGATTAGTGATCTTTCTCTAACAGCTAGACATCTGAGGAGAAATGTTCTGAGATTATTAAAAACGATTCCTAAGAAACACTCTGGAGGTGAAGTCTAGGCATGGAAACACACAGCACCAAAGGATTCATCACGACTGTAAACGAGTTTGGCATGAAGTGAACACATCTGTCCTGTCTTCTCAGACGTGCTTTATGTGAAAGATTTAATTAGTGGTGAATGGTTAAGAATAGAACACAAAGTTTCATCAGACAGTTTATATTACAATTGAATGGAATTTTATTTTAAGAAGTTTTAGTTCCAGAAGTTACAAGAATTTCCTTAGTGAGCTGTGGGTATGAATTATCTTTACCAGAGTCTCTGCTGTTGTCCTCAGACTCCTCCTCCTCGTCATCGTCAGAGCACTTTCTCTTTGGGGTCTTTCTCCGCAAGCGCCTGCTTTGCCTCATGGGCCGGGAGGGGTGTCGCCTTAGTCTTCGGCTACAGAAATCAGTGTCACTGTCATCGTTCGATGGTGGGTCTTCTTCACTCTCATCTGGGTTCTCATCAGACACAACAAATTCATCCTGAGATCTGTCCAAGAGAGACCGGATGAATTATGATGGCACACTTAAAACCACGAACCCATTTTGGAGTTCTGAGTTCGAATTCTAACAAGCTCGGTGAAGTTATTAAGCAATGTTTAATGGAAATATCTAGGTCACTGGATCAGTTTCCTTGTTTATAAAATGAAGAGATGTTTTGCACCCATTCTTTTTTTTTTAGAAGGAGTTATGAAGATCAATTGATGCTGATTTTTGTACATAAACTGCTTTTGCCTCTTGGGAAGTACTCCATGTGCCTCAAATTCAACATGTCCAAAAATGAACTCATTATTTCCTAGCCTACTCCTCTCTTCTGTTCCCTAGCCTGGTATTTGGTACTATCACCCATCCAGTAATTCAAGGCAAAAACTTGGAATTTATCCCAATTTCTTTCTCCCTGTTCATTTATCATATCACTGACTAATTCCTCCTGAGTCTACTTCATAAAGATATCTCAAACCTGATACCTTTTCTCAGTTCAGGGTCTCATATCCCATCTAAACTACTACAGCAATTCCCCAAAGTCTCTTTAATTTCTATGCTCATTTGCCCTCAATAAATCCTACCAATGAATTCAAGGATGAATCTTTCTGAAACATAAACCTCATATTAGTCTGGTATTTAAAACTCCTCAGTGGGTTTTCATCATTCTTATGCAGGACAAACACAAAACTCCATCATCTGGTTTCTTTTTATGCCTTGGCTACATCTCCAGCAGGGCAATCTCTGCTGCTACCTTAATTCTTTTTATCCTGACAAACCAGGAGTTTCCTAAATATTCTGTGACATTTTATGCCTGGCTGCCCTGGACAGGATTTGTTTAGAATACTTTTTTTCTCTATACTGCTTCTAATCCCCAATTCATCAATCTGCCCAATTCATTCTTCACATTTCAGATAGAGCTTTATTTCCACTCTTGAGGCTTTCCTTGACCTCCCTGGATTGATATGGCCCTCTTCTGTACCCTGACTTACGTTTTAGTAGCAATCATGCAGGACTTTTCTGTGGTTTATATGTTTGTTTTCTCCACTAACAATCTGACAGGAGAAACTCTGTGGTATTCCTTCCATATATCTGCTCTGTAGAGAAGCTTCCTGACAGTGTAGAAGGAATTCAGTATAGAATTACATGCCCCAACCCAAACCCCTATAGGTCACCAGAGAATAGTTTCTAATTACTTATACCTGTCCATTTCTCACATTTGACTGGGAACCAATGCAAGGTGCATGGGTTCAACCCTTGCTCACGGAACTAAGATCCCACATGCTGCATGACTTGGTCAAAAATTAATAAATAGTTGTTGTTGTTCAGCCGCTCAGTTGTGTCCGACTCCTTGTAACCCCAAACACCCCTAAAACTTTGTTTTAATCTAGAAAGAGCCAAAATCAGCATTGTTCAATCTGTTTTAAGTACCCTGAAAACAAACTGTCTACATGCAGAACAAAAAGCCCCATCAGGGGATAGCCAAGTTTGGTTGGAAGCCCTGTTCAAGCCTCGACCTAGGGAATGGGATCTACCGACAGACCACGCACCCATCACTGATCTTGAATTCATCCTCGCTCTCCTCTTCATCCAGGTTGCTGTCACTGTCCAGATCATTCAGTCGCCGGCGTTTCTTCCGGCGAGCAGCCGCTGCCCTCTGGGGTCGTTTATTTTCTTTTCTTTCTTCATCCAATATAGTAGAGATGTCTTTTCCACGGTGGCCTGTGATGGTAGAGATATCTTTTCCTCGGCCAACTCCTGAGTCCAGGGGCAGGGATGTAGGGTTGAGGGGAAGAGAGGGAAGGAGAAAGAAAGACAACTCTATGTTTATTAAAAGTTTCCCTTTAATATCTACAGATTGTCCTTAGCAGCTTTTTCATTTGACTTCATTTTCTTCCTAGAGCTATGTAATTTTCTCACAGCTTTAACTGACAGAGTTTTCAAGAAAGTTTTACATTTGTTTATCCTATTAAATGGGGCTTTCCAGGTGGCTCAGTGGCAAAGAATCTTCTTGCCACTGCACGAGGTGCGGGTTTCATTTCTGGGTCAGGAAGATTTCCTGGAGAAGGACATGGCAACCCACTCCAGTATTCTTGCTTGGGAAGTCCTATGGACAGCAGAGCCTGGTAGGCTATAGTCCATGGGAGCACAAGAGTTGGACACGACTTAGTAACTAAACAACAACAACATCCTACTAAACAGAGGTTCACTATGTAGAGAACTTTGTCCTAAAAAATTTTGATATGATTCACAGAATAGTCATCCTTTTAAAGTATATAATGAGTAGGTTTTCAGTATAGACACAAAGCTGTGCAACCATCACCACTAAACCCAGAGCATTCTTATCATCCTCAAAAGAAACCTCATACCTATTAGCAGCAGTCACTCAAGAGTCTCCTCTTCAAAGTTGTTTTATGGACATGGCTTTAGAAAGAGACTAATCTTTTTTTTTTAAAACTGTGTTTGCCGGACAGAGAAAGTGAGAATTCAGCAGCAAAGATGTAAATAAGGCACAAATGTCTGGAAAAGCTAGTGACTTCTTCAGTTTGACTACAAACAGCCTACTTATTACTAATCCCTGTAGGAGTTTTCATAATAACCAAATGGAAATAATCATCTTCCACACTGAAGTACTGGGAATTCCCTATACAGCCCTTTAATTATCTTCAAATACTTTTACTTTAATGTTAATCATTAAAGACTATGAAATTAATAAACCAGTTTTTAATTGAAAACAGATTCAAATTACTGATTTTTGTGACTGTAGCAGCAGTCATTTAAAAATGGAAAGATAAAAGTTTTCTCTTTGGAAGCAGAAGTAAATTTTTTAATCTAGGGATGAAGAATTCTATTTCATATCAGATTATAAAATAATACTACCTTTAAAATAACTGGGCTTCCCTGGTGGCTCAAAGGGAAAAGAATCCACATGAGTTCAATCCCTGGGTTGGGAAAATCCCCTGGAGGAGGGAATGGCAACCCACTCCAGTATTCTCACCTGGAGAAACCCCTTGGACAGAGAAGCCTCACGGGGTACAGTCCATGGGGTCGCAAAGAGTTGAACATGACTGAGCAATGAAGCACAGCACACTTTTAAAACAATTAGTATGCTCTGAGTCTACACATTGGCACTGTCCATGGATTATTTTGAATCTCAGTCAACATGAGTAGTGATCGTGATACACATTGAGGAGAATGAGAAAATATGCTTGCTTACTGCTCTTTAATCAGAGCATTTTAGTTAACATACTGGCCAAGTGCGATGAATAGAGAATGATAAACACGTACCTCCTCCATCCGCCTCTTTGATATCATCTTCTATAGCTTCATCAATTGCTTCGTCAAACTCATCAAATCTAAAATACATACAACAATCACATTATAGCCTATCCTGGTATATGGACTAGGAAAATTGCCTCTAAAGTAAAAAAGGCCAGAATATGAAACTGCTCTCTGCTACTTTAGGGCTGTGGAACTTGGATTAGATCACCGCATACTCCTGTTAACTTCAATTTCTTTGGTACAATAGTTTTATAAATTAGCATCTAAGTTGCTGTTCTTTTACTTTTAAAGAGTATCTATACCAGACATCAACAAGTATTTTTTAAAGGGCCAGACAGTAAATACTTAGTAGTAACTACTCAACTCTGCCACTGTAGTGCAAAGCCAGCCACAGACAAAAAGCGAATGAATGTAACTGTGTTCCAATAAACTTTATTTTTTAGACACTGTGATATGAATTTCATGTGATTTTCAAATACTTTTCTCCTTCTGTTTTGTTTTCTCAACCATTTATAAATATAAAAACCACTCCTAGGCCATGCGGTACACACAAACCAATAATGAGCTGGATTGGCCCACAGGTCATAGTTTGCTAACCCAATTATACAAATCATATGACAGAGTAAACTGAACCAACTTAGTATTCCAGAAATAATACTAAGTGTGAGGAATATATTATTGTTGCTATCAATTATTATATTATCATTATTACTGAAAGTCTTATACAGACAGTCAAAATTTTAAAACTAGGTCAAAGTACTTTTTCTCAAAAGGGCTTTTTCTTCTACCTAAAGAAAAAAAGCAAGACTAGATGATTCCTAAGATTTTTTCACATACAAAGCTCCTTTCACTTGAGAACTGAGGTGATGAAAAGATATGGGACTTGTTGAAGACTATGCTAAGCACAGTAATTACTAGGCCCAGGTGGCTATTTATATTTAATTAAAATAAAAAACTCTGTTCCTTACTAGCCACATTTCAACTGCTCAACAGTGACATATGGCTACTGATTTCGATACCACACAACAAAGAAATAGAACATTCCCATAACCACAGTAAACCGGATAGCATTGGATTAAAGTTACCCAGTGATTAACAACACAGATGAGATTATTAAACAAATACTTTGCCCTTTGGAGTTGAGAAATTCATTACAGCTACAGACTTCCTTTCTAGGAAAATATATATACTTATAGAAATGTAAAATTTTACATATTTCAGAGGATTCACAAGTTTCAGGCTAAGAACTCTTCTTCTACAACATATTTTTAAATGCAACACTTTACCTCCAATATTTTCATATAATGCTATGAAAAACATCCTTGTAGATGTAGCTGAGCTTTTTCTTAAGAGGAATTCTGAGAAAGAAGAAAATCTGTCCATCTATTCATCAGGCTAGAAGAAGAGATACAGATCAAGCCAGATGCAAAGTTAATGGAAAAATGGGAATTCTCCCAAGGACATGATGCAGCTATAAAGGGTCATAATAATCTATTTCCTTTTTTTTTTTAGCAGAAAATTTTTATTACTTTGCAAGGCAAAGGGGTCCACAGTTAACACCCTCAAAACAGTGTCCCCAACAATCTATTTCTTTGAGCCACTACTACCTTCTTACTGAGACACTGTGTTTTCTAAATTCAGAGAGTATCAGAACCTTTGAATAAAGGAAATTATATCAATAATTAAGAAACACCCACCCTTGACTAGAGGATCTAAGTCACTTTAAACACAAATAAAAAGTTTTGATTTACATTTCAGACTCTGAGTTTGCATAAGCTGTTGGACACAACACCCTACACTTTATCTTTACTGTTTTCAAGGAAAGAGGACGCTGTGTCAACCATGTAGTCTAGATATGATATGGACCCTTCCATAGTCCTGCTTTTGCTTTGAGCCTTACTCTTCATTTAAATGTCATCTAAACTCTATCCTTAATAAACTCTTCCAGTAAGAAGAGGTGGCAAGAATACACAGAACTGTACAAAAAGATCTTCATGAGATAACCACAATGGTGTGATCACTCACCTAGAGCCAGACATCCTGGAATGAGCAGTCAAATGGGCCTTAGGAAGCATCACTACAAACAAAGCTAGTGGAGGTGATGGAATTCCAGCTGAGCTATTTTAAATCCTAAAAGATGATGCTGTGAAAGTGCTGTACTCAATATGTCAGCAAATTTGGAAAACTTAGCAGTGGTCACAGGACTGGAAAAGGGCAGTTTTCATTCCAATCCCAAAGAAGGACAATGCCAAAGAATGTTCTAACTACTACACAACTGCACTCATCTCACACGCTAGTAAAGTGATGCTCAAAATTCTCCGAGCCAGGCTTCAACAGTAAGTGAACCGTGAACTTGCAGATGTTCAAACTGGATTTAGAAAAGGCAGATCTTTTTCAGTTCTTTTGTGTATTCTTGCCATCTTTTCTTAATATCTTTTGCTTCTGTTAGGTCCATACTGTTTCTGTCTTTTATTGTGCCCATCTTTATATGAAACGTTCCCTTGGTATCTCTAATTTTCTTGAAGAGATCTTTAGTCTTTCCCATTCTATTGCCTCTTTTCCTTTGCACTGATCACTGAGGAAGGTTTTCTTATCTCTCCTTGCTATTCTTTGGAACTCTGCATTCAGATGGACAATATAGTTCTCCTATAATGCTTATTCTAATTATGTAAATTTGTTCCAACATGACTGATGTATTAAGAAATACTTCAAACATAACATGTATTTAATACTTGCTTATATGTAATTTTCTTCATCAGAAACACTAGGTAAATACAGAAAACTGCACCAGCTGCACAGGAATACACAAGACAAACACATGCACATACCTTATAAATATCTACCGGCTACCTAATCTCATTACGTGTACTATAAGCTACAACCATCTGCCCCTAGTATTAAAACTTTCTGGCTGATTTAAAAAATCCTTCATGCCGCTATACAATAAATTACAAACTGCAACTCTCCCCACAATCACTTCTGCAGACAAGCTTCAGGGCTTTTTCAACATAAAATGTCACTGTTTATTGTAGTATTTATGTTATCTCTTAACCATTTAACATGTGCCAAATGGTATTGCCATTTACATATATATTTTTTAATGTGTCACTGATGAAATTTTTGTTTGCCTCTAACACCATATTTTCCATAATCCCTATGGCTTTTATTGTGTGATTCTGCAACAATGGCAATTTTTAGGAATGTATTGGTTGTGTTATAGTAGAAGTGACTTTAACATTTGAACTTTCCATTACATTTTGACTTCACCAGTTATAATAATTTTATTTAAAAAAAGGTACCATTTCTTTTTCAGTCTTTCTTTTTTAAAAAAGAATAAGACAGACACCATTCCCATAAACATTAAGGATTTTACTCTTACTGATCTAATGCATTTTACAAGTTTTAACAGTAACAACAGAAACAACACAAGGGGAACTCTTTCATGATCACTGATGAAAGTTTATAAACAGGAAGCAAGCTCAAAGTTCTATAAAGTCAATTTTGCTTCTCATCTTCAGTTATTCAAGGACTTTTGTTGTTGTGTAACAATGGTCTAAAATAATTAAAATATCAGTTACTTATTATTTGAGTGAGACAGGGTGGTTCAGTAGAGAGAACACTAGATGAACAATTAGAAGATAGATTTTAGTCCAGGTTTAACTGCTAACAGTGACCATGGAGAAGTCTCTCTGTGGTGCATTTCTGAAGACAGATGGTAAACCAGACGGCATTAACCGAGTCTTTCAGTAGGCACTGACAGAGCACTATGCTAGCCGTAAACAACAGACGGATGCAGAACACGGACATGGTACTTCCCTTCATGTTAACAGTGAAGTGTAGGAGAGCAATATTAATCAAAAAATAAAAATCACAGTGGTTACAACTACAGAAGTACTCTCAAGGAGAAGAACTGGTTGCTATGAGGGCGTATAATAGAGGGATTTGATTAAGAGAAGGTTGTTATTTAACAAGGTTAAAAAAATAGAAGGGAATTTCAAGGCAGAGTAATCAGTCTGTACAAAGGGACTGAAAAGACGCAGTGGCTAAGTTGAGAGTGAGGAAAAAACATGGGTGAGGTGGGGCTGAGAGGCCAGGGCAGGGCGGACTGCGCAGGGCCCCTGCGCCTTGCTAAAGGCGCCAGCCCTTCCCCAGAGCTACAGAAATCGGGCAAAGTACATCAGACAGAAGAGGACAGCATGGAGACATTTGGAAAAGATGATGTTGGCTGCTCTAAAATTCTGATTCTAGAGACAGTGAATAAGAAATATATATACAACTTCTAATGATTACTGTAATGGTAACAGCAAGGTTGTTTTAAAAACAGTTTCCACTCTTTCATTTCCAGATTTCATACCTGTAACTTATACACTTCCGTGTTCGTGTCGACCTCCTTTCAAGCAAGTTTGCTTTGGATTTTTTTGAATCTTTTTTCTTTTCTTCATGATCTTCAGAAAAATCTGGCTCCTGGTTTAAAAATATAGTAAATATACAGGTTATTATGACAGAACAAAGTTCCTTGGAATTAACAGCTTTCTAAAGTCCATCTAGGCAGCACATATGAAAGGTTAAAAAAAAAAAAGTCAAATGGTCGCCTCAAAACTAACTAAACAGGGCAACACTCAGTATAGAGATTAAAAATAATACTGGTGGATCAAAGGATGAAAATACTTCTGCAACAAACTTATGCTTTTGTGAGTTTATAGTTACCTCTTTTAAAACAATCATGATGAAGTCTACCTACTAATAACTAAAGTTAACACACATAAAATAGTCAATAGATATGCTGAATAAATGAAATAATGGATTTAGAAGAAGAAAGGGACATGGTGCTCCAGAAAAATTACTAACCAGACAGGTGCTTTCAGTGTGTGATTTAATTAAGCCTAGAATGAAACTGCATTTGAAATTAAGAAAATGTCTTCATTTCAGACGAGATTGGGCGCGTTCAGGGTGGTATGGCCGTAGACTGTCTTCATTTCAAATGAAAACCATGTCACTTATATTTTCACTCATGAGATACCTTTCTTAATTATAAATTAGATTAATAAATGCAAAACAATAATATCCCTTCAAATAAACCAAACTGTAAGAACACAAATTGGAGTTTCTGATAACCCCCAAAACTGGGAAATAAAAAACCAAATATCCCTGAACCATTTTTTAGTCACTTTACATAAATAGCACATAAAGAAGCTAAAAATAAATTACCCAATTTAGGGTAAAAAATCAGAACATAAACCCAATAGGGGTGAGCTGTAAACTTGGTTCAGATGTGATGTTACATTTTGGGGCTACCTGTACACACATAATTTCAATCATAAGGGAAATGGGTGATTTTTTGAAAGTGCTAAATTTCATTTTTAATAAAACTGGTATATTATATATTTAAAACCACTCATATAACAAAGTAAGTTAAATTTTAGAACACTTTTGGCGGTCTCCTGTCTAAAAATACTATAAAGCAGAAACTTACTTGTGGAGGAATGATGTTTTCAATACTAATACCCACATACACCAAGCGTTCTTTCCTTTAAAGAAAAATGACAAAAGAAATAACAATGTAGCTTTGGAACATACTAATGCAATTATTTTTAATAGCATATAGGTAATTTCTCTGAATAGTCTAACTGGCTTAAAGGACTTCCTAGAGATATGAAATGTAAAACTTTTTTCTTTAAACTTCATTTTACTTCTCTTATACTATATTCTTGCATTTTAAAATTATTTAGAATACAAGTTTGTTTGACATGAAATATGAATCTGGACTATTTCTAAAGGTTGTTTTCAAAATTTTCTATAAAACTACCCTGTACAGTGCTGACAGAGGGATATTAATAAATATTGTGTTAGTAAAAAAAAAAGCATACAAAGTGAGATTTGCTAAAAGTAAAACTTATGAAAACATTACTAACATAGATAATACTAAAATTACAACTTTACAGTAACAGCAGAAGCTAGGTCATGAACATATTAGTTAATATCCATGAAACTTATAGTATTGGTATCTGTGGCAGGCACAAAACTTTCTAAAGGTATGAAAATCTCAGTTACGGAAGTGATTGATACCAGGCAATATAAACCTTGTAAATGAAATAAACAAGGAAATTTGATGAGAAGAGCCATGCTATGACTCACTGATGAAGTGATCAGATGAAATGCCAACTCTGATCAGACAAACTGTATCTTTGTTATGCTGGAAGTTCTCAGCAACACTGTATGTGAAAGATTCTAAGCCCATTCACTTCTTATTTGCAGAGAAGAAAAGCAGCAACATAGTTATACATCTCTGCACTATGTAGGATGCTTACAAAAAACATATCTTCAAAGCCAGTTGAGACTTTTCCAGAAAATGTAGATTTATGAACACTAAAGATACTTCCAGAGTTTCCCTTCAAAGAAACCTTTGTTGATCTTAATTCAAAAAGTTTTACACCAAAAATTGCTGTATATAACAGTAGTTTTCTCTGGTTTTCTGACAGTTAATTCCATTCACCAAGGACAACTGAGCTCTTGCATACACATACCACTGTATGTTCTATTAAACAGAAACATAATAGTAACCACTCTTCTACCATTTGTGATGTCCTACATAGGACATTAATAATCCAGTTGTGTAGGTTCTTTAGAACATAGCCTTTACTGCCCTATAAACTCTGGGCCCTACTAAGAAGAATTTTATAGTCTTTTTAGAGACAGGTTATGAAGCTATTAGGCTTCCCAGGTGGTGCCAGTGGTAAAGAACCCAACTGCCAATGCAGGACATGCCTGAGACAAGGATTCAATCCCTGGGTCTGAAAGATCCCCTGGAGGACAGCACAGCCATTCCCTCCAGTATTCTTGCCTGGAGAATCCCACGGACAGAGGAGCCTGGTGGGCTATAGTTCATAGGGTCACAAAAGTGGGACACAACTGAAACAACTTAGTACACATGTATGAAACTATTAAATAAAAACTGGCATATAAAAATAATAAAATTATTTTAATCAAGACCCATTTTTAAAAAAACAGTACAGTTAATGAACTAAAAACTAGGAAAGGAAGAACAGTACTAGTTGAAATTAACAGGGAGGGCTACATGGATAAGTTAAAACTTCAGCTGTTATTAAAAATGCCTGACATGTTTCTAACCAAGTTTGTTGTGATATCAACTTCCTCTTTTACACTGCAAAAGCTTTATTTTCACTTGACCATTATTTCTCTTCTCAACTCAATGGAAAAAACAGTCATGCTGCAGGTTAGGTCATGATTTACGTCAGACTTGGAAATCCAAAGGTAAATAAGACATGGTTCTTGCCCTCCCAATTATTTAACAACTGACTGTACTCCATTATGAACAGGTATAATGGAACTGTGAAAAAAGAACAGATTTTTGGCTAAAGAGCTGAGAAATCTGGAAAGACATTAAATAGGTGGTAATATTAATATCTGAGTAAGATCTTAAAGATAGGTATGATTTCTCCTCAAAGCATTTTCTTGCTCAGTAACCTTACAAAGAGTCGGACCCGACTGAGAGACTGAACTGAACTGAACTGAACCTTATGGAAAGTTACACCTTCCATTCCATCTCACCACATAGCTCAATGATCATATTGGGCTCAGACCTTATTATGACCACACGCCTTCTAAGATTTCCATTTCAAGGAACCTGTTTTCTGGTTTCTACTGACTCACTTTCCAGCTGACTCCCTCTGGTACACTGATGCTGACAACTCCCTGACTCCAGGGGAGCCTCCATCCATTGACCCTACTCTCTAGTCACTGTTTGGCACTCCCTTTGTATCCTTACTTTCCCCCTTACCTGGCTTAGACTTCATGGTCCATCATTATAAATACTCCTTTGCATAAACTTTCAAATTCCTTGTCTTTTTCTCTCCTTCCCTCTGCTACATTACCTGGAAAATGCCAACCCTGATTAAATCCAACTCTGTGCTAGCAAAGCACTAGTAACAGTACTCTGGAAGTACAGAGCTATTTGAATTCCCAATAATTTCTGGCACCCAGTCCTGGAAGGGATGTTTACAAATCAGTTGCATGGATTTCTGAAACATGGGACATCGAAAAGCATCACAGTTCCAGTTCTATAGACAGTTGCTGGCTAGTTACTAATTACTCACTGACACATCTTTCTTTTTCATCATGCCAGAGCCATATACTATATATCTCATTTTGATTACACTGCCTAGCATAAAGTTAGGTGCTCAATAAATGTTCAATATATGTTGACTAAAAGCACAAACAAGGGAAAAGATGCTGTAGCACTATGACACAGAGAGTAAGCAAGGCTCCAAGCTGTTAGGATGAATGCTACAGAAATTGTTGCACAGATCTGAAACTGGATGAAAAAAAAATGCTCACTATTTAGATGAAGTCCCCTGGAATTAACAGTTAATGTATTATTTACTTTAGAAACACATATTTTGCTATTTAGAGCTTCTAATATAAACATACATTAGGAGCTATAAATAATGAAGGCTATGTTAAACAGATTCTGGGGGAAAATTAGCAAACAACAGTAACAATTTGGTTAACCTGCCTTGTCAGAATGGTCTCTCAAACAGGATTTAGTGTGTGATCTAAAGGCACACACAATTACAGATGTCCTCTTAAAGGATAACATTTAAGTAAAGAGAAAATTCATTTCAAATGTATGACAAAAACCACTGCAATGTTGTAAAGTAATTAGCCTCCAACTAATAAAAATAAATGGGGGGAAAAAAAACCCAAAAAAAACATTTAAGTAGAGAGGATTATCAAGAAGAGAAAAGAAACTGGATGAACTAGAAAATGGGAGACCAACAGTGTAAACAAATATTGTGGCACATTTTAACATAAATTTCTAAAATTTAAAGTATTTTTTTTTTCATTTATTTTTATTAGTTGGAGGCTAATTACTTTACATCATTGCAGTGGTTTTTGTCATACATTGAAATGAATGAGCCATGGATTTACATGTATTCCCCATCCCGGTCCCCTCTCCCACCTTAAAGTATTTCTTAACTAGAGCAACATATCCTAAAATATAGGAGGCAAAAGTAAATGCTCACCGACCGATCTTTCCACATATAAACCCGACAAGTATCATAGGCTTCCAAAGGACAAACAGATACAATGTGAGTATGAGACAAATTCTTAGTGGTTTACATTCTTGGCTTTTAGAAAGAATCCATTTTCTTCCATGTCCTTAAAGAATAAGCCTATTAGCTATCTACAGTGTTATGTCAGATCAGCTTCAGAACATGAGAAAACTGCTCATTTCTCAGAAGGGCAGGTAGATTTCAAGAAGACTGAGTCCAATTTTTAATTATGACTTAATTATGACTAATTTGAAGCATCTTTAATTTGATCTCTTCCAGTGTCAAAAATTAGTGTGTTTAGTCATTCAGTCATGTCTGACTCATTTCAACCCCATGGACTATAGCCCACCAGGCTCCTCGGATGGGGAATTCTCCAGGCAAGAATACTGGAGTGGGTTGCCATTCCATTCTCCAGGGGATCTTCCCAACCCAGAGATCAAACCTGGGCCTCCTACATTGCAGGTAGATTCTTTACCATCTGAGCTACCAGGGAAGCCCATCAAAAATTAAGACAGGAGCAATTTGCACATCAAAACAGTCTTAATAACTGTATACAGGACTATCAGTAAGAATTCCTAAATATAAAGGTATTTAGACAACTGATTAACCCAGGTCCCCTGCATTAGAAGCATTGAGTCTTAACTATTGGACCGCCAGGGAAGTCCTTGAACCCATTTTTAATGTTCACCTTTGCACAGAGTAATGTGTGTGGATTATGGAATGAGCAGACTGCCTGAAGGCAAACTAAATTTTTCAGGGTAATACTATGTGATAGCAGTAAAAGTTAGGGTTAGGCAAAGTAGCAACAAATGAAAGAGACACTGCTTAGATTTTTCTCATATTATGAATACATGGGCATCAAGTCCTACTGATTAAGACCATGAAAATTCTCTTCAACCTCTCTACTTTATTATCATGATGACTGATCTAGTTCAGGCCTCACTGACTCCCAGAGACTTTATTCCAATGGCCTTAATGCTAATTCCTCCTTCTTGCTGTTACCAGGGTATTTTTTTCTGAAATAAATGTCTGATTATGCATATCTCTCCTTTGATGGCTTTCCCACTGCCTCTAGAGAATAATTCAGATTTCCTAGCCAGTTATGCAAAGCTGGCCACAATCTGGCCTCAGTTTCCTTTTTAGCTTCATCCCCCACCACTCTTCCTCTCACAGTCACACTCTGTCTGTGCGTTTATTGTGCTCTTTGCCTGAAATATCCTTTCTCTGCATGTCAGTCTGTATAACCTCTAGTTACATTCCAAGGACTTCCCTGATAATCCAAGCTCTTGGAGAACTACAGTGCCCCTCCACAATGTTCCAATATTGCTCTAAATGTACCGCAGTTTGTCTACTTATTTGCATCACTGGTTCATATGTAGAAGATAAGCTCCAGGTAAGTAAGAGATTTGTTTTATTCACCTTTTCTCTTCAGTTTGGAATAAGATAGGAAAGAATGAATGTTTAGCAACAGACTAATCAAAAAAGGTACATAAAATTATCAATAAATATGAACTTACCGTCTTGATTATGAGCTCCTGTAAAGATTAAGCTCAACTCCAATCTTACCTCCTCCAAGGAGCCTTCTTCTAACCACTGCAATGGTCTGTCTGCTTTAGACCATACTGCAGGGGCATATTGGAAAGGGAACCATTGCTTACAGTCAGTAAGCTCTTTATTTCACCAATGCTAATTCTACCCACCCAAAGAGGTGCCATGGGAAACTAAACTGTAGACCAATTCTTTGTGTTTTCTTGAATTCCCTACATACTTAGATAGATATCCTCCACAATACTTGGGCCAATACTTATTCAGAGTAGGTTATGACAGAAACTTTAGGTCAGGGACTGGCAAACTTCCTGTAAAAGGACAGATAATATATTAGGCTTGGGTAACATGGTCTCTGTTGCAACTGCTCAACTCTGCAGCTGCCGTGCAAGAGCAGTCCCAGATAACATACCAACAATGAGCATGGCAAAGGTTATTTACGAACAATGAAATCAGAGTATGTAATTTTGATGTGCCATGAAATATGACTTTTGTTTTGATTTTTTCCTAATCATTTAAAAACAACAAAAAAAGACCCAATCTTAGGTGGCAATACGAAAACAGGAAGTGGGCCACACTTGGCCCACAAGTAGGAGTTTACCAATCCCTGCTTTATACAGACACATTAGTCTATACTGGAAGATAATTCTGACGTCAAATTCCCAAGTGAAACATTAACACACATATCAAAGTACCTGCGTTCAGCACGCTCCTTCTTCTTTAAGGCAACATCCAAATCTTGCAATTGTTCTTCTAATTTTTCACACAGTAGTTTCTGAAAACATAAAACAAATGAGTGTCATCTTAAACACTTTTCCACAATCACTTATCTCTTGCCTATTAGCTAAAGCTGCAGTGCTAAGACAGCTAATAAGGGGCCACAGAGAAAACAGTGACATGTTCCTTGTATTTAATTAAATAAAGAATGCCACTTCAGTTCATCCACTGAACTGAAGATGAGCAGGGTATCTTTGAAGTAACACACACGTTAAAGAAACTTACAGCTTTGTCAAGAAACATATTCTATGCCTATCTTGCTGGCAGTAATTAATGTTTAAAATAACATTTGGTTCAACATATATACATGAGAGTGATTCAAAAAACTTTATAAATATCAAGGCATTTTTAAGGAAGAACATTACATATACAACAAAATATAATGGTATCAATCACTTTTTTTTTAAGAGAATGGAAAAAAAATTTACAAAATCATGCCAAATGGTTACTGGGTCAAAATAGAGCTGAAGAATATAATTGTTAGAGTGACACTAAGTCAAATAATTCCACTTAACTAAAAAAATGCAATAAAGACCACCATCTCTTAGGGATTTTTTTTTGAGCCATGCCGCACAGCTGTGGCATCTTAGTTCCCGGCCCAGGGATTGAACCCATGCCTTCTGCAGTGGAAGCAGAGTCCAAACCACTGGACCACCAGGTAATTCTCAAATTTTAAAGCAAAATGAGACTGGGCTTGTGAGAGAAAGGACCTTTTGAATAAAAAAAATATTCTGCTCTTCAGGTTTTAAAAGAAATCCACCGAATCAAGATATGAGAGAAACAGAATCCAAGATTCTATTCATAGTACCATCATAATGGTCCATAATTTATAACATCATCTATAAAACTGAAAAAAAGAAGGTAGGCAGAAATGAAAAAGAGGATGAAACGAAGGGATAAACAATAGGAAGAAACTTATTTCTTCCCTTGTATCTTATCCTCACGGAGGGGAGAGGTGGTTGTGCCTTTAACAAATGTGAGAAAAAATAAACCTGAGATTCTAATTTTTTAAAAACAAGAGGTCCTTTGAGAATTGCTTTGGGAAAAAATAAAGGGAAGACCTATAAGATACTAATAAAAGGCAGTTTTTAATAAACAGCTTCTACTTTTATAGAAATTTAAAGAAGAGATAAACAATATCTATAAACTGATGATTAAAATGTTTAGCGGCTGTCAAGAAATATTAATTTGAATATAAAAGCAGAGACTGGAAAACCAGAATTGTGCTGGGTTGTCATACATGCTGGCAAGGGGGGCAGAACCATTCTCCATCTGGAATAATCATTAGAGGAGGGCGAAGGCAGGCAGTGTGGTATCCACTGTCACAAGAGTCACACAGAAGGATCTGAAATAAACCATAGAGTAATGTCAATCTCTCTATGGGTAATAGTCAATAACACAAGTCAAAATAAAGACATTTCTTAACCACTGGGCCATCAAGGAAGTTCCCAAGAAGCATGTCTAATCCAGCATCATTCCCCTGCATATCTCATTCCCCTGCCACTCAACACACAACAGTGGCTTGGGATTTTTATTTGAAGATTATCCTGAAATATCCAGCATATGAAATTAAACCACATTTCAGATCTTCAGTTTCCAATGTCATTCTCTGTGGCACAGTAATCAGCAAATGGGATTTTCAGAGCAGTTACTAAGACAATCGAATAAAAATCCTATGTATGTTCTAAGAAAGGTGCAACTTTCTCCACCTCCTGGATGTCATTTCTGCTTGCTTCATTTTACTTCTCAATTCTTCACACCTCTTTGTCATTGTCATCTATTACCACCTAGTGTGTGCCTAGTCACGCCGTTGTGTCGGACTCTGTGTGACCCAGAGGACTGTAGCCCACCCAGGCTCCTCTGTTCCTGGGGATTCTCCAGAATACTGCAATGGGTTGCCATGCCCTCCTTAGTCAAAATGCATTCTTTCAATTAAAAAAAAAAAATTAGGAAATGGTAGGAAAACAATACAAATGTTGATTTTTACTTGATTTAGAGGGCAGAAAAGACCACTATCATAATTCTTCTCTTTGCCTTTCTCCACTTAAAAATCTTGATTTAATTTTTACAGTTTGAAGATCATAAAAATATTCAGAAGGATCTTCTCAGTGTAATTTTGACATCTGTTTTTTTCAGAGCTGTATCTTTTCCTTAAACCCTTGGAAACTACTGAGATATGATAAACTTCACTGATTAATTTAGTTTCCAGATAGGATTTTCACATTTAGGAAGAAAACTGCAAGTTAAACCACAAATAGCTTTACCTCAGCACACAACAGGTATCAGGAGCTGTGCTGAGCAACTTTACATAACTTGTATCTGCTCTATACAACTCTACCTATGTGGAAGCATCTTTATGTCTCTTATAGCTACAGCTTGCTTTCAAAGTCCAATCTATTCAAAACAGAACAGCTGGGCATAACAAGAGTGCTGCTTCAACAGGTTCTTTAGAAAGCACTCATAAACTGCAAAAATACATATGTAGGTCAGGAACTGGGTTTTCTGATTTAGGCAATCTCTGAAGAACTTACTTTCCAAATAAGAAAGTTCCATGTAAATCTGTCACTATTTTTCTGAATATATGTGGTCTATAATTATCCTCTTAAATTTTTTTTTAGAACTACCCATTTCTAAAGTTTAAAGCCCAACTGGGTTACTACTTGACTTTATTTACATGCTTTTACAGAAAAGCAACAAGCCCTTCAGGTCTTACTTATTTGAAGCTGCCACTTCAGAAATATCATTATAAAATAACTTAAAGGGAAAGAACAACATTTTAAAGAAAAAACAAAACAAAAAACAGAATAGGAATATTTGAATAAACTAACTGATCTGTGAGAAGACACTAACAGCGCATCCTTAAGTGGAGGAAACATCATTACAAAGCCAGGTAAGAATGAAAGCAAGATCCTGATCCTCCCTAGAATTAGGTTATTATCTGAGAATAGAAATAAAGGATTTTGCACACAAAAAATTGAAATCATCATCAAACCCAGATAAGTTAAACTGTTTCAGACAAGCACAGCATGGCAATAATCTGAATTCTGTCCATACAGATCAGGCACGCACTAGTTCAGGATGGTTTGGAAGGCCACATTTTTTGCACGGTTCATCATCATCTGCCAGGATGGCTTCTTCACTTTCCTTTTCTTCCTCCTCTTCTGAAGCTGCAGATGACTTTTCACTGTCAGACCCCTCACTTTCATCATTGCTGGAATATTTCCACCTGCCACGTGTTCGAGAGCCAGTCCATCGAACTTTGCCTTTGGGCTTTACCTTGTATAAAATAAAAGATTAGGACAATTTGATGTAACAGCAATGTAAAAAAAAAAAACAACAACACGCTTCTGATTACATATGCATTGTGCAATATTTAGTGAATATACAAAGAAGAAAAGAAACATTACTGTAGTTTCATCAACAGATATACTTACTATTAAATTTTGGTATATATTTCCATTATTTTTTTCTACTTTTTGGGAGGGGAGAATTATAATGAACATTCTGTCTTATTAAATATTTGCCCTAGTGATAAATATTCTAACATCGTGTGTGAGTATGTGTGTGTGTGTGTATTTTAGATACATGTAATATGCCATCACATAGCTATATCTAATCCACAACTACACAGACATTTAGGTAGTTTTCCATTTTTTCACCTTCATAAACAATGTATCCTTGCAAATATGAAATTTTTACACAAACCTCTGTGGTTAGGATAAATTCCTGGAAGAGGATTCTGGGTCAAAGGTCATGCACTTTTCAAAGGCTCTATAACTGAACACTGACTATATTCTCACACATTGTTATATTAAAAGTTTATTTCTCATATCAGAGAAATGGATCAGAACTGCACAGAAATTTCTGACAAACTTAAAAAATATATTATTCAGAGACTAACGTTATAATGTTGGGAACTGCTTTCTACTGGTTGGCTTCACAATATTTTATGTCATATTTCAGTTTATTCCTACAGTTTAAGTCCTCATCAAAGACCAAAATAACTCTAACAGGAGGAAATTTTTTAAAATAAAAATTTAGTATTTAAAGGAACTAAGGACCGCTTACAATTAAGAACAATGTTATCACTTAAATAAATCAAAAACAAAAGGAGCACTTTTTAAAAAAAAGTAGCACTTTAATTATAACAAATTCTCCATAGGCTAGCTAAAGACTTGTACAAGATTTTGCTTAAAATAAGAGGCTCATAGAAGAAGAAAAAACATTCTGGCTCTAAGACTAAAAATTGAAATGGGGAAACAGAGGCGCTCTCAAACACTGGCAATGAGAGGGTACATTAATGGGGCCTTTTCGGAAAGTAAAGAAGCAAAAGCTACCAAAACTTAAAATACATATGTCCCTTGACCCAGTAATTCCAATTCTAGGATTCTATTCTAAAGAAATACTCACTCATGTCCAAAAGGATCTTCAATGCAGCATTGCCTGTAACAGTGAAAAATTGGAAACAACCTAAATGTCAATCAATCAGGGGGTAGTTAAATAAGCTGAGGCACATCCACACTACGGAACACTATGTGGCCATCAAGAACTGAAAGCAGACTCTATCTACTGATACAGAAAGCGTTCACACACACGTGGTTAAGTGAAAAACTCACAGAAAAATGAATTTATCTTTTAAGTGCATGGGAAATATTTACACACACAGACATGAATATATGGAAAAAAGAATGAAGGAGATGCAGCCCAAACCGTTAATGGTGTTTGTTTCATTCTTCAAATGTTACAAGTTAGGTATTACTTGTAGAACTTACAAACAGAATGTATTTCTATACTGCCTATAACAGAGAAAAAGTTTAAAAGATGATAAAGTCTGAAATTTAATGTCTGGAGATAACGTAATAAGACATCTCAGATATAGGAAGAAAGGCTTTTGTTGTTGTTGTTGCTGTTTTATCTTTGAATGAGTTGTTTTAGCCAAAAGCAAAAAGCTATGAACACTTAAAAGTCAAATATTTCTAATAAAAACTAAAGCTCAGGAGAAATTTTACCTTGGTTACTTTAGAATTTGTATCCTTCTCTGCTTTTTTCAAATTTTCTTTTTTGTCTGTCTTTTGCAAAGCTGCTGACTCTTCTTCTACTTCATCTTCTTCCCCTCTTTTTTTATCAGCTTTCTGATCTCTGATTTCAGCCACTTTTGCTGTGGGTCTAGATATTCTTGGAGACCTCCTCAAAGTACGACCAACATTTGTTTTCTCTTCTTCCTTTTCAGTCTTCTCTTGCTTGGTTTCTGGCTCTAAAATTTTGGGAGGAGAATCTGACTTCTTTTTCCGACTAGATATCCTAATTGTTAATTTGATGCCTTCTTTCTGCCTTTCTGAGGTTATCTCTGTGTTTTCAGAGCCAGTGTTTTCTTCTTCAGGAATCAACTTATATTTCAATTTGCTTTTTTGCATAGAACCCTTTGTCTCAGAAGAATCACTTGTGCCAGAGGTCTGGGCATTGTCCAGATTATCCACTTCTACCTTTGTTGGTTCAGAATCTACTTTTAAAATTTCTGGGTCTACTTTCTCCAGGGACTGACCTTCAAGTGAACTTGTATTCTGAGACTCAACTTCAGAGGCTAGTTTCTCACAGTGGACAGTCACGTTAGATGACGGATAAGTTTCAGCTGCCTCTGGAGACCCGGCCTTTATTGATTCTACAGTTGTCTTTGGGACCTCCTCCGGTATTGGACTCAATCTTTGTGTGTCCTTATCAAGAAAAGTCTTTTTGGACTTTTCAAGACACTCGAGGACTGGTGGGCGCTTATCCTTCTTACTTTTGGGAGACTTCTCTTCAACTCTCATACTATAGGATTCAGTGGTAGATAAAGCAGTTTTTAAAGAGAGATCCTTTGCTATGTCAGCAGTCTCAAGAGAGGTTTCCATTTCTGAAGGACCGGTTTCCTCTATGTGCTCTTTCTGACTCTGGGTCTCTAAGACTGATATTGAATTATCTGTATCTTTCCCTAAAGGGACCACTTCTTTCTCAAGATCACCTATTTTTACACTCGCAATGACAGAATTTACAGACTCTGCTCCGTTTCCCTCCATGATGACACTTCTATCCTTAGAGGGGCTGCAACTATCTTCCTTTGTATCATAAAACTTTGTCTCCATCTGTTCTGTCTTAAAATGTGGAGTTACCTTTTCATCACTAACTTCTCCATTTACCAGCTGTTTCCCTTCATGACCCAAAGCAGTGATTGTAGAGATCCTTTTACAAGTCTCTTCCTCTTGTTTTATTTCATCTTTCAAAAACTCTTTTGTTGGAGTAACTGATTTACACAAAGGTCCTTTGATTGGACTATCAAAATCATCACTCAGTTTAATTTCTCGTTTTTTTAGTGGAATCTTCGCCTGCTGGTCATTTTTAAGTTTCTCAGTTTCTTCAGTAGACTTTTCAGTAATTTCTTGAGAAGATTTAACATTGCCAACAAAGTCTAGCCTCTCAGGCTCTAACTTCTCCATACTACCTTTGATATCTCTAGAATCTGCTTTACATTCTTTCATTTCCACTTTTACAGGTTTGACATTTTCCTTGAAGGAATCACTTTCTTCTTTGATAATCTTTTTTTCTTCACTTTCTGGCAAAGGTTTTTCTAGCTTCACTATGACTGGCAGTTTTACAAGTTCCTTTTCATCTTCTTTTTCTATTTTCACAGTAGTCTCTTCCAGAGCACTGGGTGTAGAACATTTTTCTGAATCTATTGGCCGCTCTTCACTTTTCGTCTTTGCACTTCCTTTCTGTTCCTCTAAAAATAAGAAAAAGTTTACATGAATCTAAGCATTCAAGATTATAAAATGTATAAGGCATAACATAAAATATATTTCCATTTGAAGTTTCTTTCTTAGAAGAGGTGGCTTTTGTCACGGGACATTTGACAATAAAAGATGAAATCAGACAGTAAAGAAAATACCAAACTCTGAAGTACAACTTTTAGATATTAAAAAACTGTTATTTAGAAAGACAGATTTCTGCTTTATACTTTTAACTTCAATGCTCTCAATGAAATACAAATATTTATACAGCCCAAATAAATTATTCAAGCTCAAGTGATGGCTCAAAACTATGAAACTAAGAATACATCATAATAAAACATTTCCAAAAGACCATATTTGTTTTAAAAACTGACAACTGTTCTCTACAAGTTATAGAGCACTTCATTTCATTGAGGAAACATGAAAAAGGCAGTGCAGAAATGTTTTATGCTTTAATCAGGTTACAAAAGTAACAATTCTGTACAGAAAATGAAAAATATGCCCACAATCTGAATACCTACAATTAGTATTTTATTTGAGACTACTTCTAGTTTTATGTATTTTTGACAAAGTTGGAATCATGCCGCCCCATTTTCCTCACTGAAACATTAGCATTTTCTTACGACATGAGATGTCTTCAGAGAATTGTACTTAACTGTGTTAACACTCCTTAATGTGATTATATTACAATTTACTTTATCAAATGCCATTAGTAAACATTTCAGAATTTAATATATTACAAAGAAACTATGTTTACCTGTTAACTCCTCTTTTTACCTTATTCGCTATATATTTACAACTTTTACAGAGTACCTAACTGTGCAAATTTAAGTATAATGAAAGTCATATTTAGTAAATAACATAATCTTTGAATGAGATTACAGACAAGGCATATATGTTTTAAACTTGTGCTAAGGAAATCTGAGCCATGTTTTCAGAATTCATTAAGTACTAATTTTACCTATATTTCCCTCACGCTACCCTTGCAATGGGAAAACTTTGATTTTAAATGAAGTTTTACCAAGATAGGAATTAAAAACTTTTTTCTGAACAGATTCCTGCCAAGCTGATAGAGCAGACAGTTTCAAAGTTTTTATGGAAATAAAATGTAATGGAGAGAAGTGAGATAAAGACTTCTTTAAACTAAGAATTCAGTATTACTTTTAAGAAGTATTTTTATTACAAATCACCCAATTTGTTTATGTTCAATCATAATTGCAAGTAAAAAAATTCAAGAACTGCTGAAAACCACTGAGAACCTGAAATTAAGAGTACTGTTCCACCCTCTTTACATGATCCATACAGTAATTTAAAAATATGTATGTCACTAGGAAAATTAAAGGCATGGCAGGAATTATCTAGTCTGAATGTCTTGTTTCCCACTTATTAAGCAGGTTCAGTAAATTCCTATGCATTAACTCTGGTTAGTGTATCAGAAAATCTAAATCAAGAAATATCTTAGATAACGGTTAAAATACAGATTACCATCTTTATCAATAACTTTAGCTTAATACAAAGAGTATACAGAAATATAGAACACAATTTAATATTTTTTAAATATATTTGGTTCAAAAAGCAACTCAGGATCTCACTGAGACTCTCACCAAAGGCAAAATGAACACTGTGCTTTTGGGAAGGTGAATGATTAAGTCCTTTAAACTGATTCTGATGTGAGTAACAACACGACAAAATAAAATGAAGAGTAAGTAGCATTAGGTTGAGACTCCTAGGTTCAGTAATCCTAATTCAGCTAGTGGTGTATCTCTGAATATCTTACAAACTCAGTGATCCTCACTTCTTCATGTACAACAAAGAAGCTGACTAAGTGACCTCAATAACTATTCTTCACTGACTTGTATTTCTCTTAGTCCCAAAATATTCAATATTTTTTTGGCTTAGCTCTTACAAGAGAAAAACATAACAACAATTACAACTGTAGCTCCTGTAGATCACATGGGTGTACCCCTAAAGCTGAAGACAGGAAAACCACGACATAAAATGAAACTTTAAGCACTATCATAATTGGTAAAAAGGTCATTTAGTTATATAAGCATTTTCAGCAAAGTTTTGTCAGAAGCAAACTGTAAAGGAAGATGCAAATGAATTTAAGAGACATGAAATTTGAAGTAACAAAACTCAAGGAAAAATTCACCTCCAAAATCACAATGCAGAAGGAATGTTTCTTGACAAACCTGAAGGGATTCAACACAACTGTTAACCTATTCTGGGTTTCTAAAGCACATTCATTCATTTACTCAACAAATATTTACTAATCATCTATTATGTGCTCTCCCAACCGTCCCAACCAGAATCACTATATAATGAAACAACGAATGTTCATGTAAATTACAGTGAAGGACATTGCTAGTTGCCTATCTAGTATCTATTTTCTTTCTTACTACTAAAATTCTGATTTTGTTCAGGAAAGTACTTGCCTCTTCAGAAACCTTAAAGCTAAGGGTCATTTGAACCAGTTCTGGCCAATGAGACGCATAAAGAAATCTACTGGGTAAGACTTACAGGGTTCAGTTGACCTATGCCTTCTGCCCTTTCCCCTTCTTTCTGTCCAGAGTCTGCACACAATACCTGGAAAGGGAACAATCAAAGCCACATGCTAAGGATGGCAGACTAGGAAGGGTACTTGATGGCTTTATGGAGCTGCTTAACCAGACCTAGAGTGCTTACCACATGACTTTTTATTATAAGAAAAAAATTTACCTCACACGTGTCAGAATGGCCATCATCAAAAGGAATACAAATAACAAACGCTGGTGAGGATGTGAAGAAAAGGGAACTCTCGTACGCTATTGGTGGCTAAGTAAATTGGTGCAGTCACTCTGGAAAACAGTATGGAGGTTTCTCAAAAAACTAAAAGTAGAAATACCATGTGTGCTCAGTTGTTCAGTCATGTCCAACTCTTTGCAACCCATGAACTGTAGCCCACCAGGCTCCTCTGTCCATGAGATTATCCTGGCAAGAATACTGGAGTGGGTTGCCATTTCCTCCTCCAGGTGATCTTTCTGACCCGTGGACTGAACCCATGTCTCCTGCGTTAGCAGGAGGATTCTTTACCACTGAGCCACCTGGGAGGCCCAGAAATATCTTATGACCCAGCAATTTCACTCCTGGGTATGTATCTGAAAGAAACAAAAGCATTAATCTGAAAAGACTCATGCACCCAATGTTCACAGCAGCACTATTTATAACTGCCAAGGTACAGAAGCATCCTAAGTGTCCATCAACAGATGAAATGGATAAAACAGATCATAATATAACATTGAAAAAAAAATGCTGTAAATATACGTAATGAATACTACTTAGCCATAAAAAGAATAAAAGTTTGCCATTTGCAGCAACATGGATGGACTTGGAGGGCATTATGCTAAATGAAGTCAGTCAGACAGAGGAAGACAAATACTGTATGATTATCCCTTACGTTGAATCTAAAAAAAATACAACAGACTACTGAATAAAACAAAGCAGCAGACTCGCAGACAGAACAAGTCAGTGTACCAGTGAAGGGGGGAAAGCGGGGTGGTACAACATAGGGATAGAGCAGAAAAAAAGTGTTATTATAGGATTATATGAAGCCATGTGTGTTAAACTTTTGAAAACTGTAAAGCACTACAGAATTTTAAAAATCTCTCAATTTGTTTTAAAAAAAGAAAAAAAATTCCATTTGAAAAAACATGTAGCCAAACACAACCCTGTCTGATTTCCTTTCCTTTTACTTCCTACCACTTTTTCTTTCCCATACTCACCAAAATTAATCTATATCATTTAATATATATTGGGCTTGTCATCTATTCAGCGATAAGGAATAACTAATCTCTGATGCTCTGATTTCTTTATAATTCTTTTCTTGTAAGACAAGACTTGAGAAGTTTTAAAACAGCATAGTGATTTCAGATTCTGCTCAAATGTTATATACTTATAGTGAGTATAAATTAACATAAACACTGTAAAGAGCAAGTTGGAAATATCTACTCTAAAGCCTGAAGAAATATACTCTATAGTTTAGTAATTCTACTCAAAGAAAGTAAACTTACATAAAACTGAACAGAAATATGTACATAAATATTTGCTGTAGCACTGATATAAAAGAGAAAAATGAGAAATAACAGAAAGATGAGTGAAATAGCAATATGCTAAAGTACAGGTTGTATGATAGCATTTGTAGAAGTTATGAAATGCATAAAATAATGCTATATGTTGATGTGGCTACAAATATATTTAGCAAATTCACATGATTGTGGCACTGCTTGGAAAATAAGGGTAAGAGGAATGGAATGGAAAATGAAGGGAAAGGGAAATGTTTTACTGTTCTATAAGTTTTTAAAAATTAAAAGCAAATTTTAAAAATATTTAAGTATTTCATATTATCATCTGTTTATTTAAAATATTTCATTAAAAATTAAAGATTATGAGCCAGAGAAAACTTAAATGCTCTCCTGCTACTTTACATATTGGCCAGCCACGAGACCTTGGGATAATTATCTTAATCTAAGTTTCTTTGGATTCTTTAAAACTGAAGTCAGAATACCTAACTCAAGGAACAGCTATGAAGGTTTTTTAAAAAATGGAGCCTGAAAACCACTTTACACAGTATAGTTTGGGAGCCATTATGATGATGATAATACATTATTTGCCTCCTTCTTACCACAATCTTTAGTCACATCAGAAAATTCCCTTAAGCAATCATCATTTTTAACCAGTCAACATTGCCTAGAGGGCCATTTCTATTTTTCTTTACCTTCTCATTCATATTTTCCCATTTTGAAAAATAATTAAAATGTCAAATAACTAACTCCTAGGGTTGTTAATGATTACAGAGGGTGCACTCAATGTTGGCATTGCTATTGTTACTTATTATTATATATGTTACTCGGAAAATCTTACATCTTTCAAGCTCAAACGCCACGAAATTTTAGTTTTACCTGAGTGTTTCCCCTACAAAGAATTAACCACTGTATCTTCTGCATTTGTGTCTTGC